TCGACAGAGGCACATGCAGCTGAGACCCTTGCCAATTAACTGTCGAGCGTATGGATGCTGTCATCGGGTGATTTACAATGGACTCTAGGCGCCGCCACCCTCAGCTACTTTATTCCTCTTTTAAGAGTATGTGCCACTAAAGCTATTAATACGTGCATGCCTAGCACGCATATGGTATAGGTATCAGTTTGAAACTCCGGCGGTCGTTCAGACGATAGCTAGTCCTCGCCAACATGGACGATGTGCATTGGGCCGTGGCTTGTCTTAGTCTGTAGCTTTCTATACCTTTTTCGTCGGACTACGTGTAATCAGACACCCCTCTCCAGTCAACCCAAATAGCGAGCTCTGTCAAACGGGATGAAATGTCATGCACGAAATCGCCTTGGTGACTTCGCCGGGGATGACGATCAGCAGGTAATGCAGCTGGCAAAGACCAATCGGAGTACGCTGGACTGACATACATCGGCACACCACTTACTAGTTTCAGGAAGTATTCAACTCCATATTCGTGAAGGCCGTACCGGACGCATATCTAGATACCATGTGCCTCGTAATGTTGTTTCACCGAGACCTTGTCTCTTTGGCAGCTAATGCATGGGGACCTATTAAGGAATGCCGACGAAATCTGGTTGAGAAGTTGATGTTCTGCCAGGTCCCCCTTTTAGAAACCTTCAGTGGCGCTATGTCTAGCGAATACAGTTAGGTACGCATGGCACGGGGTGAAAACCCGGGTTCTTACGCCAACTATCTGGAGTAAACATAGCCAGATCCGCTCTTAGTTATGGTTTGAGTATGCAATTAAGCCTATGGTGTACACCTAGACGTTTATTATTGTTGAAAGATCATTGCTAGAAAGTTGGAGAAGCGGAGACATAGTCGTAGTTCTGGGACCCTCCCAATTCCACTCATCTTTGTTCAAAACGGGCAGTTGATCCTTTTTAGATAATTTTCCATGGGTGCTAACTATGGGTCTTGAGGGTTTTATGACTACAAGATTAGATATCTTATATGCTCTCCGATGGAATAGCCACCATCTCTCTTAATAGTATCATTGACAACGGAAACACGATATATTTGAAGCAAAGAACCGTGGCAGGATACGTGACGTAGGTAGGGAATAACAATGTATATATAGCGGCGTATAAAGCTTTTAAGTTCTTCCAGGTGATAATAGAAGGGCTTTCTATCAACGTGACCGCTAATCCAGGTCTTGATGCAAATTATATACCACTCGATCAACTAGACCGAGAATTGTAATCGAAATTCATCATGTTCTTCGCAGCAGGGAGGCTCATCACGGCCCAGCTTGGCGCTGCATCTTGTCTTCTTATTACCATAGCTACAGCCTTTACCAACACGATTCGCAGACCAAGCGGCTGCAATCCTCAATTTTCATATTCAGGCCCATAATACTATCTTCTATCCACGTCGTGGACGAACGTGCAGATATCACGGGCCACAATCATCGACAGCTTCAAGAAAGCTATGCCAAAGGTCGTCTATAGCTCGACCGAGGCGAGTCGTTGCTGTAATGTCTAAGCTCCTAAAACTCATTATCTCAACGAGCAGGAGTACATTCACTTCATTAGAGGAAATAGGAATGACCTCGACAAGCAGAGCTTACTTGCTTCAAAGGATGGGTATTTCTTTTGAACCCCATTAGCTCTTGCACCTGGTTAACAAGGTAAGTTCGGTTCGCGAATCCAAGCCTGGTCAGCCAATAGGTGGTGCCACACCATGGAATGATTATACTTACGCTGGAAAGCTCATCAACGAATGGTCCATCGACGGGACTCTTGTGTGATTCAATGAATGTGGCAACTATTTGGCCTACTCGTGCTTTCACAATACCAGTCAGAGTATGTATGTAGAAGCTAGGGTATGACCATGTGCCCTTAAAAGGCAGCATTTCGGTCATATAGCAATACTCGAGTGGGACGGCAAAACTGACCTGGCCTCTGCCTCCGCTTGGAAAAGCTTTTCCGATTGTGTCTTTAAGGGCGGTGCTAATGGATATTATGGCATCGGCTATAATAGCTTCTTCCGCAGTCCCGACAGCTCGCGAACTTGGAACGTTTGCCATGCCACCTCGAATAGTAAGGGAACTTGTGATGACAGCCATTATACGATGGCCCAAGTCATAGGCAGCAACTCGGACGAGTCCCGGGTCCGTCAACTTCGGTACACCCGTTGCTTTTGTCTATTATAACTCTGCTGAGCCGAGTTAGTAATTTACCTAGTTACCACTGTTATATGACGTAGTCTCTAACGAATACTCCCGCTCCCATCGCAGCATGGGCTGTCGTAGCTTAATAGCAGGGATTGGGAGGAGTTTCTATGTATGAGACATAGGTATTCGATAAAGATGATTTCATGCAACGTCACAGCTGCTTTCTTGCTGTAGTCCTCTTATAATAACACCAATGATTTCTTGGGAACCAGACCATGTAAATAGTCTGGGAATAAAACCTATAATTGGCTTGTTGGTTATATCCAATATCCAAAAGATTATTGAGTAGGCACTTAAGCAGGTAAATGGTCCTACGACCTAACCGAAGCTACTCTAGCCTCTCACGTTAGCCAAGAACATTTTAGTCAAAGCAAACTCATTGTATCTCCAAGCACTCGGATCAAGGGTTCTTTACATACCAGGTAGGTAACGTGTTATATCTGAATTTTCCGTAAAGTGAGAGGAGATCAGGCCAACGCATCGGCTTCTCTCAAGACTACCTACCGAATATAAGTTTAGGGAGACTATCTGAATAATTATTATTCATGTTTCTTACGTAGGTGATTATCACTTACCTTGGGGTATATAGCATAAGGATTTAAACTCTCCCGGGAACATTTTATAGCTTGGTTTTATATAGAACATTGGGAGGTAGGCGCCCACCTATCTTATGAATATGCGAATACGAAATGAGAGTATATTAATCTATTAAAGCTACATGCTTTCCTAGTAGATGGTCATTACGATAACTAGGCGTATAGCGGGCGGTATTGAATCTCTGACGTCGTTAATCATGTAACTAGTCGAAAAACAAAGTTTGATTTACAACCTCAACGTATGGGTTTACCGTAGGTACCTAGGTAAGTAATAAATGGATATATCTAAGTAAGCTCTTCTTGGTGGACTTGTAGAGATACATGTGTCTTACATGTCTAATAAGAAAATCTACAATGTCAAGTCTTAAACGAAGTGAATCGGTACATGCCTGGGGTGTGATCAATGCTACCCAGTTGCAGAACAACCTAACCTATCGGGTGAAGATATCACAAAGTACTGCATGGCCAAGAAAATAATGTTCTGTTATGATTGGTGTGACTAAAGAGGGGGCGCGACCTGGGTAACGAGCTGAGCCGCGTTCAGAAGCTATATCATGGGGGGGGGGGGGGGGGGGGGGGGGGGGGGGGGGGGGGGGGTGGGGTGGGGGGGGGGGGGGGGGGGGGGGGGGGGGGGGGGGGGGGGGGGGGGGGGGGGGGGGGGGGGGGGGTC